AAAAGAAATGGGGAAAACAGAAGCGTTAGTAGCCCGAAAATGTGGATATCTGGTTCCCATCAGTATCTGTCGAGGTTCGTTAAAAGGGAATAGATTCCTCGAACAGCGGAACAGGCAACCCTGCAAAACTAGCCGCAGATAATTTTCTACCAAATTATCTATATAGGACCCCATCCTATATAGTGGCCTTCTCATTTGTTTTTTTCAATCTCCTACTGACGTTTTAGAATCGGTATAAAATCGGTTCGTTATAAACTAGCGACTCCAATAAATCACACACTTTAACGGAACACTACAGAAGCTGCCAAGTCTACTCACGTAGGGAACGTTCTTTGAAAGCTTTGATCCTTTGGAAGTAGTGTGTATTTTTTTACTCTTTATTTTTTCTGCTCACTTCTCCAGGAGGTAACATGCTGCCAACACCGGCATAAAAACTCCAAATGGCACAAATCGGATCTTGTAACAATAGCGATGGATTTAAATTTCCTCGAGAGTATGGATAAAGGAGAGCGGCCACTCCTCTAATTGCTGTTCCATTCACCGGGACTGGTTCTCGGCAAAAAACTGACAAGGATACCGCCGTGTACACCACACGGATCGAAGACCTTATGTAAATCAAAATTTATTTTTAGTATCGTTTTCTCTGCAACCAGCTTCCAAAGATGGAATTAATCTCTACTTTTCTGTATACACTGATTTTATTAGTGGTTATATAAAATTTAAATAGCTTTGTTATTTTCATCATCCTTGGAAATTGGTTAGCAACTATGTCACAGTATATCAATTGCATGAAAAACAGAAGTGGAAAAAAAAGTTTTGCGGTATGCAATAATTTATTTATAATTTATAAATTATTCATTAAATGAATAAATAACAATAGCATATGATAACTAATTAATTACAACGTGTATATTTATTCATCCCGATACAGGCCAACGAAGTAACACGCGTAATATTTCTAGTTTTTTTTTGTTGTCCATACTCTTCTCATTTTTCTTTCATCTCTATCTTTCTTTTCTCAGTCTGTTTCTTACTTTCTTGTTTCTTCATCTCCGCGATAAGAAGCTTTATTATTTTTCACTATTTTCCCGAATTTTTTCCTATCTTGGTAGTCTCCCACTTCGATACTCATTTTTATACTTCATCTTTTATTTGTTCCGGATAACCTTTTATGTTCTTTAGTCCCACTACTTTATTGAATATTAGTTTGTTTAACCTATTCCGATCCATTCGATTCAAGTGCCTGAAGAACTTTAATCTTCTTTTCCACAGGAAATTAACAGAAATATCGTTGGTCAACTATACAAACTACTGATTAGAAAATCAAAACTTTCTATTGAAAACAAAATACTGATCTACAAAATAATACTGAAACCTATTTGGACAAACGGACTTGGACTGTGGGGACAGCAAAATTTTGTAATATTAAACGCATCCAATCCTTCCTGTTACAAGTCCTTCGAACGATACTCCTTTCCATGTAATCGACAAAACCCTACACCATGACCTTAATATCCCATTTGTAGTAGACCTTATCCCAGAAAAAAAATCGCCAAATTTCACCTGAACTTTACCTGGCATCCGAATCCCCTTGCACAATCTCTATCCAGCACCACACATCCCTATAATCCTCCAAGAAGGTTAGGCAGTGGCAGTGGCCCCGAGACCTTTTATAGCTTGTATATGTTGATGTTTTGGCGATGGCCAGATTCTCTACTCACAACATAAGTATATCTGGCTAAAGCGCTTTCGCTCAATTTCCACTAGGTTCAGCCCCAGTGACGCGGTTGAGAGAGTCGTGCAGGGATCTCCTGGAGCCATGCTTATCCCTCTACAGCTGGAAGGAAAAGCCATGCTAGGAGTTCCCTCGTCTGATTGTAAATAGTGTTTGTTTTTTTGTTCTTTTATTTATTTATTTTTAAGTTATTTTATTCTTATTTATTGTGTATATATATATATATATATATATATTTTAATTTATTTTTATTTATTTTATGGAATATTACTGCTCTATAGAATATTACCGGTTTTATGACTGCTTCATAATGTCTACTTTTGGCTATCCTGGAAAGATTCTTTTTATTATAAAAACACCTGACTAAGAACCTTAATTTATCCAAATTTACTTTCCTATTCTGTGTCACTTGCACATCTTCCCCACTGTTCACGAGTTTTCCAAGGCATTTCAACCTTTTCACCGACCTTTTTTTTCTGTATTTAGTCTCAATTTTTTCTTCTCCATCTTATCATTAGTCATTATATCGGTTTTTTCCAATGATATTTTGAACCCGGCTCTTTCTGCTATTTATTTTGGTCCATTGATCTGATTAATGAACTCGTTCACGTTCCGCCATAAGCGGTAGGTCATCCGCAAAAGCTAAGCACTTGACTTCCTATCCTTATACCAGAATTATTGTTTAATTAAATTTATAGTTTTCTGATCTACTTAGTGTCCGAACAAGTGTCTTTCTATCCACTTAATAATAGGTTTTCTGGAAATCCACGAAGGAGACATAAATTTTATTTTATCTTATAATGTAGAACCTCAAGATTAATTTTAAACTGAGTATTATGAGCTCCCTTTTCTAAATCCCCCTTGGCATTCTCATATCCGATTATCACTTTGCTGTTCTAATCCATTAAACAGAGATCTCTACAAAATTTCCTACATCACCAGAGGTAACGAAATCCGTCTGTAGTTATTTATATCAGTTTTCGCCCCTTTTTTATGTGTGGATGTATTATTGCCGTTTTTCATTCTTCTGGCATTTTTTCCTTCTCTTAGATTTCCTGCACCGATTCTGTTATTTTAGTTATGTATCCTTCTTCCACGCATTTAAATATTTCGAATATTATTCCATCTTACCCAATCGCTTTATTATTTTTTAATGAGTATACGATCTCCTTAATTTCCTCGATTGTAGATGGTGAACTATTCAGGTTTTGTTGAGTGTCTTTCTTCGTTACTAGGATTGTAGGTTCCTCGCAGTTTAGTAAGTCCTCAAAATGTTCCGCAAGTATCTCGACATTTTCCCTGTCATTCTGTCCTCAGATGTTTGTCCTCTAAATTTAGATTCGGAGCTGTGTGCCCTTTAATTTTGTATTTGAACGCCCTATAGAATAATACTGCATTCTGTTCCCTAAAATTGCCCTTCGTTTCCTCGATCTGTCATTTAAAGCGCATTCTTCTTGTGGAATAATTATAATACAATCTGCCATAATGAAGGGCATTGGGTATTATGGTTCTATGTTCACATTCATAATAATATATACAAATTGGGATAAAATAAAATAAGAACAAACCATGTAAGTAAAAATATATATACAATAAAATAAAAACAAAAATATAAAATACTAATAAAACTAAAAAAAAAAATCCTGTCACACATTCATTGCTTTATAAAAATAATATTGTTAAGTACATTACTACAGAGTAATGCATATATTTTTTTGGCTCAAGAGAAAAATAATTGTTCTGCCTTTCTGTTGTTTTTACCTTAATTGATTTAAGTAAATGGGATAACATTATGTGATGATATTTATTTTAAATATATTATAAAATGTTGAATTTTATTGGGGAGGGGTGGTGGAGGTGAAAGAAAAGGCTATAAAATTCAACTTATCTCTCGTTGTTAAAATCCTAGTTATGGCCTTGCATTACTTCACAATATATAACTAATGAAATAATATATAGAATAATATCCAAGCCAGGTTAGTGCCCCTCCTTAATATAAATAAAATATATTTACCAGATTATGTAACATATAGCAAAAATTAATGTTTCTAAAGGTAATATTTTTTTTGGTTGGAGAAGGGTTGAAAGAAGTTTAATTCGTTTCCTTAATCCTGTATATATATATATATATATATATATATATATATATATATATATATATATATATATATATATATATATATATATATATATACATATTTTTTATTTTAACTTAGTAACAGTTCATGTACCGGTTATATTAAAATACTGTTATCGATACAAATAAATTAGTAGATTTTTTGTAGGAAAAAAAATAAGAAAGTTGTTTATCGGTAAAAAACACCAATAACATATTTAATGTTGTTTATTGTATTATAAAAAAATATATATAAAATAAACCTGTACCATTACAAACCATGATGGGTTCATTAGTTGGTAATGATGTAACCTTTCTTGACCAGTAGTTATACAAGAAACTGATGTGACCAGGTTTTTCACTAACCCAATGAAGGGACGTAACCACTTCATCGAGTATGGGTGTGCCCCCAGCAAGGTTACCAGCGACTCCAGTGCCGAATAATGTATTGAAATGTTGAGAATCTTATAGGGTGATATCAAATTAAGAAATGGTGTTAAAAAACAAAAGTATAGATACCATACACATAAAAGAGAACCTTGTTAATCCGGAACAATAAGGACAGTATTTTTTTCGGATACCGCAAAATTCGGTAATAAGACGGAAAGATTAGTAAATAAAATCTTACTGATATACACTAAAGGATCCAGGATTTGATTTGGGGGGGTCAGCCCGAAAGATTTTTTTTTTTTGGTGTATTTATTAGGTTAATTACTTCGCAAGAAAGAAAGAAACTAAGTACCTATATGAAATGGTGTAACTTAAACATCAACTCCGTATGGCATATAGGACTTATTATATTCATGTATATAAGGTTTTTGTAATTTATGGAAAGTTCAGAGCGTTTGTCTGGAACAATAATTTTCAACAAGGAATATATATACATATATATATATGTCTATATATATGATTGACTATTTATTGATAGTGTGTATATGCGTTTTAGTGATAATCTGTGCTCGTCTAAATACTTTTGAGTTGACTATGAAGTATTTATTGGAAAAAAAAAAAAATAGATGAATCCTTCGGTGATTCAGAGGAAGATAGAAAGCTATGAATGCTGGCATTTCCAGTGGGAACCTCAGCCAATAAAGCTTCACCGCGGAAATGCTTGGCTAATGAGGTCCACCTTATTAAGCTCCTCCTCCCCTAAGCTGTTCCGATTTTAGGAATGGTGGGATTTAATTTGACTCGCTTCCATTGGCCAATCAGATGTCCCGTCTCACCGCTCCTTTTGTTGGGAAATTCCAACAGCTTGGGCTGCCCCTGGCCCGCCATTATTGGTCCACTGATGAGTCAATACCCGATGAGCGATTCATTGATTTCTTGAAAGGTCTGTTCTACAATTTTTTCTTTTTAACTCAATGTTTGGTCTTGTTCCGAAGTATATTTTGTTTTGAAGCTATTAGTAGTTTATTAGTAAGAAATAGCCCATGTCAGGTAGTCAGAGATCTATCTCTTACTTATCACAGTCATAAGTATTTAATTACAAGTGAATGAATGAGAAATGCTTTATTTAATATGCATAAATTATAAATTTCCAAAATACACAAAACATTTATACGGTATATGCCGGAAATTTTATATGTTTTACAGGTACAGTACAAATAAAGACTTTATAACAATTACATATACATGAATAAATGATAAGCAATAAAACAACTAATACGATATAAATTAATAAATATCTTGAATAATTTATGTATAAGAAATAATAAAGGAAAATAAGGGAAATCATAAACAATAACATGAATAAAACTGACCACAAACAAATTAGAGGGATCATGTTTATGCTGGATTTAGCAAATTAAAACGGTATATCCACTCATGAGGAGAAAAATCGACAATTTTACAACATTCGTTTACAGAGGGGGCATTTAGAATGAAAATTAGAATATCATTTCGAACCGGGCTAGTTCCAAGAAATTCGATACGAATTTGACCAAGCATTGAACACTCAGCCAAAAAATGGAACAGGTCTTCCTTTACAGGTAGGTTACAGAGTGGACAATCCGTATATTCCCTGTCAAGACATGGGATATAATTCAAATAAAGGACTTCACATCTGAGCTTGAACAACCAACTCTACTCACGCCCAGTCAAATCCCAACAGCAGTCATCCACGAATTTCAAAATGTTAAGATCATGGCTCAATTCTCTATACAACGGATATCGATCAGAATTCAATGTCGCTAATTTAAACTGCTTCCAATGTTGCTGAGTCATTGCAAACCGTATTGTTGCCAACTGGTCTTTCCATAACGAAAAGCATTCCAAAGACCTGTCGAACCTGCAAGAATATCTTTCCGCCAAATTGCACCAATTTTTAAACCAAAAGGTATTACGTTTAATCACTTCAATGGCGATAACTCTGGAGATACGACTTTCAGTCGGGCGCAGTAACTTAAGACAATACTTAAAATGCAACTATAAAGTAAATACCTCAAGTGGAATTGTGGCTGTTTCAATTGTTCAGTTTGGAGGCAACGAAAACAATTTCTTAATGAAAAATCTCTGAAACTTTTCCAATATGTCATATTCCTGAAAACCCTCGACTTGAGTCAATGAGGAGATATTGAACAAATAATTTTACAAAAATTAGGGGCTAATAAGGTGTAGATAGAAATGTTTGAAAATGGTCAGGAGGCCAAAACATTACAAATATGTACTATGAGAACTAAATAGAAGTTATAATATTGATAAAGACCCCCACGAAGGTTGAAACGGCAATGGCCCCGAGACCGTTTATAAATATTCTACTGGAGTTCTAGCAATGGTCAGCTTCTCCACTAAAATCCTGAGTGTACGCTGCTTTAGCGCTCTCGCTCAAGCTCCACTGACCTTCAAACAGTTGTGCAACTGAGAGAAAAGCGCTGGGAACTCTTTGAGCTCTGCTTTCCCTTTCACATGAGAGAGGCAAAGCACGGTTCAGGGTTTTGTTATTTTAATACAATTTCAAAAGAACTACTTCCCAGAATGAATGAAAACACTATATAGAGATGAATGTATGACAAGTAATTTTTCTTTCTTTTTCCTTTTAATGATTTTTTCCTCTTCTTTTTACAAGTATTTTATATTTTTATTATTCTTTTATTGTATATATTTTTTACTTACATGTTTTCTTTTTATTTCTTTACTCGATTTGTTTATAATAGTATGAATGTACACTAAATGTATAATTATTCCAATAAAAAAAAATATTGATTAATAAATTTATATTTGTTTATGTATTTTGGGATGAAAAATCGGTCCAAAAATTTGATAATTAACAGTTCATAAAATAATGAAAATAAAATGAAGTAATTATAAATTCTCTAAAATTTTAGTCATTTTTATGTTTGAAATTCCCTAAAAATTAAATAAAATATTTTAATCATATACAAACACCAAAAATACTACATAATACAACGTATAAAATCGTTTGGCAAAAAACATATAAACTTCATGAATAAGAAATTGAAATTTCTCAAGAAGAACCTATTAAAACTCGTTCGTAAAGCGTTTGTTGGTATATTTTGATACGTGGACTGAATTTGACTAAAAATTTTTATGCGCGTCACACGTGAGCAAATAACACTCACAACGGGCGGTTCATAAATTTTTATTTGGTACGAAAAGTATGCGTGAGAAAGTTATCTTTACGAGTCTCTCAGTCTTCACCAATTCCAAACTGGTGGTCGTAAACGAGCCGTTGAAAATGAATATCAGTAGTTCTTTTGAAATTGTATTAAAAGAACAACAAAAATATAATTCAAACATTAACACAATTATAATCTTGATAACAAAATAAATACAAAAATAATATAAATTTACTTATGAATTAAAAGATTTTTTGTTTTTTATTGTATAGTTGAATTGAACATTTTCAATTTTTTAATTAATATAAAACATGAGTGAATAAAATAACAATTTACAAATTATGAAATTAAATATAAGCTCGTAATTAGCTATTAGTTTATTATTTTATTTTATTTTTTATCATATTTTACTTTCATAATTATTATTTTTACATATTTTATATTTTAATTTTTTTTATCTTATTGCATAAGCGCGGACTTTCCATTCTGAATGAGGGGGAGGCAATGAACCCCCTAAAAATTCTCAGGAGTTTATATTAGTTATACAAATTATGAGCAATAATAAACATAAATGTTGTAAATGAATAATATAATACTATGCATAAACATAAATGTTTATATATTAGTTTTTTTTTACGTACAAAAAAATATATTTGAAAACATGTCAACAAATCAATTGAATATATTACATATTTTTATTTTTATTCAAAGGTTTGAGGCATTGAGATCAACTCTCAATTATTCGATGCTTCAAATTTGCCGCGGGAAATGTAACATAATTTTCACATAAAATGGAAGGTTTCACATGAATGAATCATAAAATCCTAGGATGTGTCGCTACATATAATTATCTTTGAGTATAAACTACATTTCAATAGGAATAGAAATATTAGAGGAACATTAAGCGCGGTAAAATACTTGCGTACCTAGTTCTAGGCCTTATTTTAGCCATATAGTCGACTTTTTCTATTTTCTTAACTGATTTTCATTTACATATTTTATTCAATCATATAGATTAATTCTTATTGATGTTGATTTTATTTTTGTTCTTCGGAGTTTGTTTTTTTTTTTTGTGTGGGGGGACGATACTCCCGATTTAATAAATTAATATGGTACATCTACTGAATTAATTTTAGGAAAAATGTTGCTGTAACCTCTCAGGCATATACATACTTTTTATTTATTGAAATTTACAACTTTACTAAATAAATACAACTAGTAAATATGAGAAAATCAACATGAATGACGTAAACAGACTTGGGAGACGTTCTAAGTAAGAAGATCACTAGGCCATCTTCTTTTCAGACGCCTGGGAGTATTATCAGTAATCGTGGAAGAAGGCTGGGAACAAGTGGATTTTGACGGGACTGGAGTTTGGCATGAATGGATATATATATATATATATATATATATATATATATATATATCTTGCTTTGGCTAAATCAGCTAGATATGGAACATTAAAGCCTTTTTGAATGGTTTTATTTGTGACAAACTGTTGGGCGTTAAGGATTTTGGATTGTAAGGATTGAATACGATAGGAATTCGATGGCTTGGTGGAGCCCCAAAGCTCAACTCCTTATGTCCATATAGGTCTTATTATAGTCATGTGAATGAGCCTTTTATAATTAATTGAAAGTTCAGAGCGTTTGCCAAGTAAGTGTTGGAGCAGCCGAAAACGTTAAGCAGTTACTTGTCGTTTCAGTCTAGTATGAGGATTCCAAGTAAGACCTTTGGCCAATTAGAATCCTGTACATACTTCAGATACATAATTTAAATTTCTAGAACCTTTTTATTTTTGAATTATTCCTTTCATGCATAAGAATTTTCGAGAATCGTTATTTGAATTCAGCTATACTTAAAGTTGGCAATTCTATTGAAAATCCAGATTAATAATTTTTTAAAGATCGCAATACTTTCCCTTATTATATATTCCATAAATTGGAAAGTGAAAGTAAAAACATTTATCCGAAGAAAATTCTATTTTTATGATTTAATGAGTAAGTATATTACTTATTATGATTTAATAAGTATATTACGCACCCATTCAAGTTATATCAATACTTTATAGACAAATTATGGGTCATTATAATTGGTTCAGAATAATAATTATTTAAACCAAATACTACATAGTAAAATCAAGTTATTCTGTTACGAAACTGAAACGTTGGATCGAAAAATAATGTACGAATTGATTAAAAAAATTAATTAAAGTTCAGTTGATAATTCATTTAATTATATTTTAGACGAAGTCACGAAATTTAATGCTTAAATAACGTTTCTGGGCTTGAAGCCCTTTCAGCGTTCTGACCAGCGGTATCAAGATATATTATCCCCATCGATCTTGGGATAATTGGAACACCTAAACTTTATAAGAAGCGTTAAATTCTCTTCATTTATGTTCTTAACGCTACTGAAACAATTTTTATCGGAAAATAAATTTTGAGACTAGATAATCTGAAGATTTTTCATTCCTACAGCATTAATTAATACGAAAAAGGAGGTAGAAATATGATATTACGTTCTTTTCGAAGCTATGTTTACGGAAAAATAAAAACAATTTTTTGTTTACACCTCTTTACATTATTGACGAAAACAATGAAATCAAATTCGTGTTTTTTTTTCTCAAATAATTGGTCAAGAATCTATTTTCTATATATTACTTAAAATTATTTTTCTTTATCTTGTGTATATATTATCCTGATGTTATTTCATTTGTATTAATTTTTTTTGGCTTATTTTTAATTGCTTTATCATACTGTATTATTATTATTTTTATTTTATATTAGTCTGCATATATGGTACGAACTGAATACTTATAGCACTAATACATATTTCTCTTTATTGTGGCAGATTTTATTATAATACATTAACAGAAACATTATAAAAAAAAAGAAAAGTATTTCGTATTTAAAATACAGTAGTACATAACACAAAGGAATATTTTAAATTGGGTAATTCATTTTATGAAAATAAATTATATATTTTAGAATGTAAATACAAATACATTTTTTTGTATCTTTCAAAAGAAAATACACTTACAGCCAATAGTCTTTATACTACCACAGGACCCTTTTTATGAAATTATTAACATCCGCCTAAAACTTCGTGAATAGCTTCATCTCATCGTAACATACAACCTTTTTTATCTACGAAAATCTTCAGAAGTGGGGCGTTTTCAATCTGGAGATCGGCGAACTTTGGTCTATTTAATTAGGCACTAACAACCCACGAACACATATTTGTTTTCCACTTAACTTGTAAGATAATTTGATCACAAAATCGAGAAAAAATTGACTACAAAATTATCGGGTCGTTTGGCGTGACCTCCACACTCAGCATGTCAACATAAGGAGGTTATATAGGCCAAATGGCCCGATATATTTGTAGATCACCGTTTTTTCGATTGATTATCATCAAATTATCTTAGGATTCAAGTGGAAAGCAGATGGGTATTAATGAGTTTTTAGCACCTCACTAAATTAATTAATGAGAAAACTCCCCATTCCTGAGAATTTTCATTGATAACAAAATTGTAGGTTAAGATAAGATGAAGCCATTCACAAAGTCTAAGAGGGTCATTAATAATTTGATAAAAAGAGGTCTGTACCTCGGAATATATTTCATTTAGTTGTTTGGCAATAATAACTTCCAGTTGTTAACAATTGAGTGTATTCTACTATCAACGTTACATGTTAACAGGTTAGTTGACGTTTCGGGACCTTTATTCTCATCTTCAGAACTGCAATTCCAATACTCTTATGGATGTAAGGCTTAATTTTAATAATAATAACGTGCTCCATCGTCAATTTTCTAATTTATGTTCTAAAATTTATCATCTAGAGCAACATCCTCCTTTTGACCAATAATTGGGTTTCTGCCATAGTCAGAATCTGCCAGAATTGCAGGTCTGAAGATGGGAATAAAGGTCCCGAAACGTCAACTAACCTGTTAACATGTAACGTTGATAGTAAAATATTCTCAATTATTAACAACTGGAAGTTATTATTGCCAAACAACTAAATTAAATTGACAACTTCCCAGGAAAAAAAGAAAAAAATATATTTCATATTTTACTAATTAAAATGTACCAAAAAATATTACATTTTATATTTCATTTTAATTATTTCTCAACTTTCTACGCTAATTTTAATCACTTTGATGCCATAATTTCAATTAATGTCACCGAATGAACGTCACACGATTCGCATTGATTCTCGCAATTCTTAATTTTGAAAAATTTAGGCGATTTTTTTCTCTTAACATAATTTCCATATGTAGAGAATAATAGTATGTATGATAGTTTACTAAAGGCAAAAGACCACGTGGAAGGCCAAAAAGCAGCTGGATAGAATCAACAAAGATGCAACAGAGCTGGGTGCAACAGACAAATGGAAAGAAATAGCCCAAGACAGGCAGAAATGGAGCAGGCTTGTTAAGGCGGCAAAAGATCTACATGGTCTGTAATGCCAACAGAAAAAAAAAAAAAAAGGTAGTATACTATTGCTTTATATCATTATAAATATACTGGCGAAAATCAGAGTATTTTCAAGCAACGTGAATTTCTAGCGTTTTACTTCTATTTTCTTCATAATTGCTTTTATTGTACGTATTATAGATAATCAGAACTATTTCCATATATAACATACATTTCTAAACATGCTTATATCTCGTTATTCTTTATGTAAGATATAAATAGAAAGCTTACCTTGGTCACATAGTATGCCTCCCCAGTTCGTGTCGCAGATGCATTGCCAGGGCGATGCGTTGCAATAGCCATGCTTGCATCCAGGATACGGCGTGCATTGGTCGCACAACTCGCCCCGCCATCCAAGGCGACACCTACGAAGAGGGAATGATAACATAAAATTTAGGGGTTTAGAAAAAAAAAAATATATACCAAACATGCGAAGTTCAAGTAAACGTGATAAAAGTTTGAAGAATTATATTTTGATGGAAGTAATGTTAAAATTTGATCTAACTATTTTCCTGGATTAGGGTAAGCACACCAGTGATGGACATAGCTAAGGAAATGTTTGTATTTTTTGGATTATGCTGCCGTAATTAATATAAATATAAACTTCTCCGTTCAACATTTAGAGTTTCTAGAGTCTCCTTTTTCTATTTAACACTTCAAAATTGGAAAAAATGTTCAGTTATGCAGGTATAAAATCCATTTAAGAAAAAACGCTTTTTTTACAATAGTGATGGACACCCCGAAATTCAATTGTTCTAGCAATGGACAGGAGGTCGGTACCACTAATGGACGTACCTCAGAAAGATTCTAAAATCTTTATTAAACTAAAAAGATAACGATAAAGATAGGATGACATAAATGTTTAACTTACACTGAGCAAAACTGTTAGTAGGAAGGTATGAAATACACTGATCTCAAGAGCACTATTGGAACAACAATAATAAGCATTTTAAAATTTCCTTTTGGGAACTTTATTCATACAGTTGTCAATAGAGGATATTGTTCTTTAATATAGAAAGTTTTGGAACCTTTAAATCAACAAGGAAGCTTATTATTTACTTTTGAAATCCAACCTGTCGATCATTGGTCACCCTGTCCACTAGCGGATCCAGGATTTAATTTTGGGGGAGAGGTTTCAGCCCGAAAGCCACCTCCCCCGTAGATCCGCCTGTGCCCCTGTCCAAAACCGGTGCTTTCACCCTAATAGATTTTTTTCATAATATATGAATCAAATATATTTTTTTAAAGTTGGGGTGTTTACTTACTCGCAGACTCCTGGGCGGTCACATTTTCCGTGTTGAGGGTGGCATCCAGTCTTGCACACAGCTGAAAAGATAAATTATTTCTTCATTAATATAAATTCAAATGCTCAGCCTTGACTGGTCCTTAATACCAGTAATGCGGCTGAGTAAGAGACTCTGGGATCTCCTAGTGTCCTGCCTTTCCTTCAACGAGTGGGGGAAAAGGCTTGACTCGGAGCTCTTAAGTGAATTAATTTTGTAAATATTGTATAAAAGCATGTGTGTATTTAATTGTTATTTTGATTAGTTTAGTTTTTTGTTTTTTTTTAGTTTAAATAACTTTTAGTATTATTATTTTGCTGTTTATTTATTTTTATTTATTGTACATAGTGTGAATGAGCTACTATTTTATCACTATTACTATTGCCTTAGATATGACAGATTGCAATATATCTCAATAAAGAATTTAAAAAAAAAATTATAAAAATTATTTAGGAATAAATATTTGAAAAATTTCGGTGCGGAATTGGCCCATACATAAAATCAAATATTTTGTTGGAAACTTTGTCTATAATCACCTCCCAACGTTTGCCCACTAAGAAATGAGACGCCCTGTATATAAAATTCATTATTTTTATAATCTCGGATTGTAACGAACCATATAGTCAGAGTTAAATAATTTAAGGTAAGTACCTACATTAAATAAATCATTAATAAGAAACTGAAATAGTATAGAATTGTTATCATTTATAGCATCTATAATTCTATATACCGTCGGTTAATTGTAAAAAGTCATTAAGTTACATTTCATAACCTTAAATAACTTTTACTTAAGTAGTTTGATGACTTCTTTTTTGTTCCATGAAATTAGAACATTGTTCACTTATTGTAACTATTTTTGATAACTAAAATGATTTGTGACGTTTTGATGCACTTTCTCTCGTTTTCTATCAATAAATGAGGTCGAAATTTATAAAACTTATGGTTCAGCTCCATCAAAAATGTAGTTAGTGACTTTCTCAATTAACCGACGATATATGCTAATTGTTAAGTGAGAAGTAAAGCCCCTAATGGTTTTTTTTCCAAGTCACAAGAGAGTCCTCTTTAATCTATTCCGCGTAAAGGGAATTGATTTGCTTTGCACATTTAAAAAAAAACAAACAATTATTTCATCTTTATATAAAAAAATATTTATTGAAATTCACAACTGTATTACATGAAAAATACAAGTAAATTTTAAATTAGTAACATGACATTTACAACATGAACAGAAACTACCCATTGGTAGCACTCCAATTATAGTTCTATATTTATATATTTCCTTTTTATATTTAAAATATGGAGAGCTACCACTGGGCAGTATCTCTTCAAGTCCGTTCATGTAATTATTTCTAATGTGTGCATTTTTACTAGTTGTATTGTTTGTACAGTTGTAAATTTCATCAAATAAATAAAAAAATATTTAAAATACGAAAAAATCTGCTATTGAACTGAAATTGTATTACAACATATTTCTATTTCCAAATCAGAAGAATAAAATTATATTAAATAAAATTTATCATACATTTTATTGAAAAAATTGAAAAATACAGCACTTGCAATAAGAATATAGAAATATAATATTTTTCGATATTATTCGGCTTAAGTAATGAAGTTATGCATTATGAATATAATTTATATCACGGGATGAAATGAAGTTTTAACCAGTTTCGGTATTGCATGGAATCTTTATTTTCAATTTGTTTCTGTTGACTTGGAACTGCGGCTTTTTATCTTACATTTTTTTAAGTAACGGTTTAACAGACAATTTTTTTAAAAAAATTCATATTTGAACGTCTCGTTAATTCTAATCTCAAAAGGATTTTTATTCTTAGCTTCTCAAAGCGACACATAAGAAGCGTAATTCATTTAAAATAAATTATAACTCTTATCTAAGCCCAATGATTGATTATTTCTTATTTAACGTAACTTTTTCTTAAGAAATTAGATAAATAAAAGTTGAACATTCACTATGAACTTTAGTACAAACATGTTTCTCCGAACTTTAAAAAAAAAATTCCTAAATGTTTTTACTGAAACTGTTAAAATGTAACTTTTTAATAAGGTTCTATGAAAGTTTCAACCCATGATTTATAGATACTTTATAGTATATATCGTTTTCAGGGGTGCTCATCACCTCCCCTCCCTAAGGTCGATGGCGCAAGAACCTACTCCCCCACTCCCAAGATATTTTATTGCTCACCTATTCCTAAAAACAGAACAAGTGAAGGTAGAATTAGAAAAGCCGTAGATATACAATTACACTTGCTGCGGTCTGTTCCATGTTTTCCGCTTGTCCATTTGTATAAAACTTTTCATTCCGAAAATTCATAACCCCGTCGAAATGTAACCACCTCGAAAATTCCAAAGCCCGTCAAAATATGCCCCCCACAAAAATTTTGATGGAACAATTTGCGTCATGAAACTTCCTTCTGGATACCCCTGACAGTTTTTATTCATTGTAGATATGGAATGAATGGACTTATGCGTTACTAGTGCCCTTCATTATGACAGAATATAATAAAATTCAATAAAGAAAAAATATAATGTTTTCTTTTTCTTTAGCCAAACCACAAACGCCTATGTTGCGAATAAGTATTACAAATATGACTTTTATAAATTAATATAAGTGTGTTTGACTTACCTATATCACAGTTCTGCCCTCGCCATCCAGGTATGCAGACCTTTTCGCCGTTTCGGTCACAGGTGTAATGTCCGAAATTATCGTTGCGTGGTCTGCAGAATTTGGTGCAGGTGATGTTGAAGTAATAGTTGTCGCATTGGACCCGCACTCTGTAGGTGATCCTTGCGTTGCGGCCCTGGTGGTTAAGGGTGTGCCATTCCGCACTTGGAAGGATGATACCACTGTAGCTTGCCTCTTCGATCAGGCCGGTTGTCACTGCAAAAAGATATCAACATCATGATGAATAGAAGTCTGGAGAGGTAGTGTTGGAGAGGTGTTAGTAATTTAGCAGGTGAGTTATAGGAGAGCCACAAGGGTTGAGTAATAAGCAGAGCTCTTTGAATCCTTAATATTAAGGTGAGTTTAGACATTTCACAAACTATGGAAAAAAAACAAATATGTAAATGGTTGTTTCCCTATGCTAGTGTTTTTGTTTCTTGTTTAAAGGGATAGAAATAAGTCTGGCTTAGCGCTAATATCGCTGTTAGTTGAGTTATAATTGTATTTTTGCTTTGCTTGTGAAATGTCTAAATCTACTTTTATAAAAATATAAGAAAAATATTAACAATAAAATATTCTTATGAAAAGGGAATGAATATAGCCTTTATGAATCAATGTGCATTATATTATTTATTTTAATAACAATAATAAATGATTGCCTCATAAACATTATTGTGAAATCTCTAACTAACTTTCATTATCTGAATTTTTTTTTTATTAGATTATAAATAACAAGATTATAAAAATAAACTTTTTTTTACCTATGTATCACGAGTTTTATCTAAGAAACAGTTTTTTTTTTTTTTTGACAAGCGATGTTCACATAAATAAATTCCTATATATAAAAAATAAGAGTTTTCTGTATTGAATAGAACGATACATGTAAATGCCTATGATTGCGGGCACAATGAGGAAGAGAAAATAATGGCGGGAGTAGAAAGGAAGTAGACGGCCGACGGTAGTTAAAAAGTGAACCGGCAGATCGAGGCACACTAACAAGTTGGCTTGAATATAGAAAGGGTCTGAGCGATGGATGTACAACACCTGCTTGTTTCTCGTCTCATTTACAGTTTACACTTTCCCAAACGAGCAGTTCCTTTGTATAGAGCTCTAATTTGAAGCAATTGTGTTTATTGTGCACAAAAAAAAATATTTTCTTACTTATAAATTAAGGTCTTGTGTTGAGGGCGTAAATAATTTGAATTTTGTTTCACTTATTTTGTCATCTCTACAACTTTGGCACAAGTCAGAAATATGTTAAAAGTTATCTGTATCAATATTATCTCGTTTAATAAAAGGAAGAACAGATCACTTTTTAAAGACTTAATTCTAACATAAGATTGAATAATTTAGTATTTTTAGATTTATGTGATACACAATTTGATTATGT